GCAGTGGGGATGGGTTTGCAGTGGGGATGGGTTTGCAGTGGGGATGGAGAGCGTGGGGATGGGTTTGCAGTGGGGATGGAGAGCCTGGGGGTGGACTGGCCGTGGTGACAGAGCCCAGGGCTGGTGGCCCTGTCCCCGGTGCTCCCAGCCCAGCTGGCAGGAGGGGGCTGTGCTGACGGGAAGCCGGGCCAGGGGAGCGGGCAGGGGGAGCTGGGCGTTGCTATTTTCACTCGCCACATCCTCTGTCGGTTTCTAAGAACCGCCGGCGGATTCCTGGTAAGAGATTTCGGGGTGTGACAATGTCCCCGAGGTGTGAGCTGCCCCCGAGCTCCCCGGGCTGGGCCGTGCCCGGCGCTGACGCGTCCGGGGGGCTCCGGCATCCGAGTGGGAGTTTCCTCCTCTGGTTACAGCTCCTGTGGGTGGAAAATACACGGTGGGATTTGCATTTGTGACGAGTGGTGGTGCTGCCTGCAGCCCCCTGAGCCTCCCTGTGAGCAGGGCCAGTGTGTCCCCCAGCACTGGAGTGGGTCCCTGGGGGGATGCACGGGGGGGAACATGGGAAACCTGGTGAGAAGGAAACCTTGTGAGAAGCTGTGTGGCCACAGGATCGTCCTCCCAGCGTGTTGGGGTGTGATGGTGTGGTTACACATGGGTGATTCTTGGGTCAGGGCGGTCCATGCCTCAGAGACCCCCAGAGTGAGGCAGTGCCCATCAGCCAGGGCATCCAGCAGGATTCCTGTGCCCAGCTCTGCTGCAGGACCACACTGAGCTCTGGGAGAGCTGGGCTGAAGGGCCTGGGGAGGCAGGGGGGCCCCATGGGCTCCGTGTGCTGCAGGCCACTGTGGATCTGGGAAGTTTGGGTTGTAAAAGCCAATCCCAGCCTGTGCAGAGCTGCTCTGCCCTTGCCATGATCCTGAAATCACACCCTGCTTCCAGGCACGAGGCCGGATGCTTTGGGAAGCTGTGATGGGCACAACGTTTCTTCCTGGAGAATGTGCTCAAACAGGGAGGTGGGGAGAGGACAACCAGAGCGTGGGGCTTCGCCTGGGGAGGGGCCCAAAGCACAGACAAGCTGGAGAATCCCCTCGGTGGAGAAAAGCTCCTTTGTCTGTGTGTTTGGATGCTCCGGGGGTCGGAGATGCAGCCCAGCAGCTGCTCGGAGCGATTCCTAAGGCTCCCACCTCCGAGGAGCAGAGAACTGAAGCCTCTTGTCTCTCTCTCTCTCCCTCTCCCCAGGACTGCCTGAAGGGCTGCCAGGAGCAGATCGAGGCAGCCTTAGCCGAGAGCCTGAAGCAGGCGTCCCAGTGCCAGCAGGAGTTCAGCGCCAAGGCGGCGGCGTACGGGGGCAGCCAACCCACGGGCACCCCCACGGACGTCACCGACGTCAACCTGTGACCAGCCCCCGGCCCCGAGAGCCGCCCCTCGCCCTGGGCACCCCCAGCTCGCCGCATCCCACCTGCCCAGCCCGTGCCCACGGGGAGCAGGAGCCGCGCTCGGAGCCGCTCGGGTGGCTTGGGGTGAAGCGACTGCTTTTGTGGTGTCAGGGCCCCAGAATGCTGGGGAGGGGAGCAGGACCCCAGAAGAAGTTGGAGTTGTTTCTCTGTTGGTGTTTCCCTGGCTCTCGGGGGTGTTTACGGTGACTTCCAGCCCCACGTGGGCCACAAATCATGGACGGCGAGCCCCGACCTGCCCTGCGGGACCAAACCCCTCACAGCCCCCAACTCCTCCCCCAGCCGGGGCTGTGAGGCCATGGGAGGGACCTGCATGTCCTGGAGCAGGGAGGTATTCCCCAGTTTCCCCCCTGGGCAGGGGGGCTCCGGACCCACAGGGTTCCCTTCAGGAGGGAGCGGCTGCTCGGTGGCCCCTCGGTCCCCATTGCTTGGTGCCAGATTCCTGCAGCTCCAGGGGGAGTTGTGTGGCTGCTTCTGCTTGGAGGGGAACTGTGGGGCTTGTTTGTTATTGCTGTTGGATTTGGGATTTTTGGGGACGTGCTCCCTGTCTGTGTGTACAGCAGGAGGGTTCTGGCCTTGGGAGGGGGCAGGTTTGGGCGCTGTCCCCTCGGATTTTGCTGGCCCACGGAGGCTGCTTAATTTATTAACTGCTGGGAAATAGGGAGGGAGGAGACGTGGCATTCCTTGCTGTGGGGCCTGGATGCTGCTCTCCTCTCCTCCCAAAAAAGTGCCTTCCCCCTTCGCCCCTTCCCTGGCTCCCTGGGCAATGGGAGACTCTCACTTGGAAGCTGGTTGGTCCTTTGGTAGCTTAGGCATCAGACTAGGATTTAAGGAATACCTTTGAATGTGCTGCTATAGTCTGGGCTGCATCTCCACCTTCCCAGGGCAGGGATCTCGGATCACACCCAGGAGGGGGGGCTGTGTTGTGTATCCATGTGGATCCGAGCTGTACCCTGAGAGGGTGGAAAACTTGCTGCGCACTTGAGTTGGAAAAGCAATTACTGCGTTTTTTTTGTATTGTTGTCGTTGATCCTGTTAGTTTTTTATAAAAAGTGTTTTTTAAAAAAATAATGCTGCTTTTCTATGAGAGAACCATTTCAGAGTGGAATTGTATTAACCAGGAGAAGCCAGAGACTCCGCAGGGATGGGAGGCAGACGCTGCTGCCTGGGGACCTCTGGACATGTGGCTCCGTGGCTGTTGCCCTCCCGTGGGAGATGTGGAAAAGGAGGTAGAAATCTTCCCTTTTGGATGCCACTAGATACAAAAAACGGGCGGAAAGAGGTGGGGCTGCTGCTCCTCCCTGAGCCTGCCTTGTCCAGAAGGGCCCCGGAGCCGCTGCCTCCTGCCAGCAGGAGGGCTGGGACAGAGCCTGGCTGTGCAAAAGGAAATGTTTTTTATATATAAATGAATTTTAATTTAAGAGTAAAACTGGTTTGGTGTTCACTCCACTGCTGGGAGAGCCAGAGAACCCTGTGATGTTGCAATAAAGTACTTTAAAGAAGACTGAGAGGGTCGAGTGTGATTCCCAGGGCAGAGCTCAGATCCCTGTCCCTCAATGGCACTGGGCTGGGCCCCCCATCACCTGGGAGATCCCTTGGGGGGACTCCAGCCTTGTGTTTCCCAGGATGGAACGGGCAGAGGGCAGGCAGGGCACCCCCAGCCCCACTGAGAGGTTCCCAGGTAAGTGCAGCCTCGTGGGACACGGGGGGAAGGTCCCCCCTGGGTTTTCCAGCGAAGGTGGCACATGGGCAGGTGCCACGAGCAGGCTGGGCGTGAGGACAGGGGAGGACAGTGGCCCCATGGCTTCACCAGCCTTGCCAAGAGGAGGTAAATAAACCCTGTGAGTGTGGGGGGGGAATCCCTGGGGCAGGGAGGGGGCCAGCATTCCAGAGGCTGGTGGGGACAGGGATGGGATGGGTCAGGTCAGGTGGGGCAGGGACAGTCCAGGACCACACAGGGATGTGGCTGCAGGGCAGAACCAGCCCTGACTGACCAACATGGCTCTGGTTTTATTTTGCAGTCCAGGAACAAGCCAAACTCTCTCAGTGCTGGTGGCACCAGGACCCTGGGTGGGACAGGGGCTGCCTTGTCCTGTGACAAGCAGCACAGGGAGGTCAGTCCAGCCCCGTGGGCACAGTCCATTCCCAGTGACCGCTCGGAGCAGGAGGATCCAGGACGGATGTTCCTGCATCCAGCAGCATCCCGGGAGCAGGTGAGGCCGCAGCTTTTCCCTGGCCCTGCTCACTCCATGGCCACGGGCTCCTGCCCCTCCACGTCCCGCGTCTTGGAGTTCATGAGCTCCCTGCGGATCTCGGGCGAGATCTGCGGGTGGCTGTGGAACTTGAGCAGCTCCAGCAGGGCCTCCTTCTGCTCCGAGGACAGGTCCTCCTTGTAGCGCTGGGCGAAGGCCAGGAAGCTCTGGTGCCACAGCACGGGCAGCACCCGCTGGTCCGTGCGGAAGGCCAGGAAGTGGAACACGAGGGCGTCGACCACGCGGAAGGGCAGCGCGTACTTCTTGTCGATGAGCAGGCGCAGGAAGATGCTGTTGGCACCGCTGTACTGCATCTCTGCCAGCTTCAGCATGGCTGCACTGTGGGCACAGGGAGAGGGGTCAGGGGGGCTGGGGGCACGGGGGACAGGAGCCACAGGGACAGAGGAGGGGGCCAGGCAGGAGCCACGGGGAGCGAGGAGGGGGCACAGGGGTCAGAGAGGATGGAGCCATGGGGATGGAAGAGGGAGCATGGGCAGGGAGTGGGGCCAGGCAGGAGCCACAGGGACCAAGGAGAGGGTCAGGGGGGCTAGGCTGGAGCCATGGGGCACCAGGCACCCGGATGCAAAGCTGAGCCTTGACTCTCAACCCCAGAGGGAGCTGACTGACCCCCCCCCACCACCTCCAAGGGGCTGGAGAGGCTGAGGGGTAGATCCAAGATGCTTCCCAGGGTGCCTGAAGGAGAAGCTTTGCCCCACACACCCCCCCAGCCCCTCACCTGGAGTGCAGGACGGGGATGGAGCACTTGGTGAGGATGCTGCCGATGATGACGGCCTCCCGCAGCGTGCACGTGCCCGACTCACACAGGGGCAGGAGGATCCCTGCGGAGGGGAGAGTCAGGCAAACCCCACCAGGCACCCAGACGAGCCCCAGATCAGCCCCTGCAGGAGCCCCTACCCTTGAACCAGGCTGCTGGCTTGAACAGGGCCTTCTTCAGAGCCATGTACAGGTGGAAGTTGAGCCGCTTGTACTCGGCGATGTCGTCCCGGACCCGCGGCAGCAGCACCAGGTTGTAGAACCTCTGGGCCATCCTCTCCTTCAGGTTGGATGAAAATATCCTGGGAACACCAAAGCACAGATGGAGGGGTGGGGAAAGGGGGCCAAATAGGGAAAGGGTGGTGTTCTGCAAATCTGATTCCAGCTATGGGAAGGAAAAGCAAAATGAGTTAGGGGCTCATGTCAGAGGCTCCCTGAGGTGATCTGACCTTACCTGGTGGCCTGGTACATGGCAGCAGCTGTCCACGCCTCTGGCTCGGTGATGTAGAGGATCTGCTCCCAGTTGGACAAGGCAGGAATGATTTTAAATGCCTTGGGGAGCTTCCCACTCCTGTATTTGGACAGCACCTTCAAAGACACGGATACAGGCCATGGCTGTGGGCACTGCCAGCAGGGCTTCCCCTCCCTCAGCAGGGGAGTGGCTGTGGGTTCAGCTGCTCCAGCCTCACCTCCCTGACCCCTCTGTAGACCTCCAGGACACGGGGATCCAGCTGGGGCATGGGGCAGCCCGAGAGCTCTGACAGCACTGTCTCCACCTCTGTCTTCTTCTCCGTGAGCTTCTCCATGATGATGTCGGCCAGGGTGCGCCTGGGGTCGGCACAGGACGGGGTGAGCAGGGGGCCAGGAGGGGCTGGCAGGGGATGGGGTGAGTTGGGGGCTGACAGGGGCAGGGGGCGAGTTGAGGGTCATGTGGGACTGACATGGGACGAGGGTGAGTCGGGGACTGTCACAAGATGGGGATGAGCTGGGGTCTGACAAGGGACAGGGGGTGAGCCGGGGGCTGTGTGGGACTGACAGGGGATGGGGTGAGCAGGGGGCCGGGGGCGGCTGACAGGGGACAAGGTGAACTGGGGGCTGACAGGGGGGGAGTCGGGGGCTGACATGGGGCACGAGTGAGTTGGGGGCCGTGCAGGGAAGCAGCCCCCGCCCCGGTGCAGCCCCTTCCCCGGCGGTTCCTCACCTCAGCGGCGGGTTCTTGTTCATGAACATCTCGATGGCCTTCTCGTCCTCGGGGTCCACCTCCACCTCCCCGCCGTACTCCCCGCCCCGTCCCGCCGCCGCCGCCGCCTTCTCCAGCGAGGGCCATTCCTCATCGTCCTCCGAGTCCGAGACGGGACCTGCGGGGAGCGCCGGGGGCTGAGCCGGGGCCGCGCACCCTCGGGGATGCCGGGGGGTCCCGGGGGGCTCGGGGGTCTCACCCAAGGCCGCGCTGCGCTGCCGGGGGGCTGCGGGCGCCCCGGGGCCGTGCTCGGCCTCCAGCTCCTCCTGCTGCCGCCGCGCCTGCTCCAGGATGCGCCGGGACAGCCGCGCGTCCACGAAGCCGTCCCCGCCATCGTCCCCCTCCTCCCGGCCGGCCCCGCCGCGCTTCCCCCGCGCCCGGGCCCGCGGGGCCGCGTCCTGCAGGATCTGCTCGGCCAAGGGCAGCGCCGGGGCAGGGCCGGAGCCCCGCGCCCGCCGGGCCTTGGGCATCGCGGGGGTCCGGGAGGGGAAAGCGGGCCTGGGACGGGAGCGGGGAAGGGGAACGGACACGTGGGTGCTCGCCCCGCCCGTTCCGGGGTGGCCCCGTCCCGGTGCCCGTTCGCCCCGCCCGTTCCGGCGGCGGCACCGGGACCATGGGGGTGACCTGGTGAGGGCGGGGGGCTCCGGGAGGGACGGGGCAGCCCCGGGGGCTCCCGGTGGAGGTGGGACCGGCACACGGCGAGGGGCTCCCGGCGGTGGGAGGGCAGCGCCCGTGACCCCCCGGCCCCGTGTCCCCAGCGTGTCGCAGGTGCCGGTGGCCGAGGGCAAGAGCGTGCAGCAGACGGTGGAGCTGCTGGCGCGGCGGCTGGAGGCGCTGGGCGCGGACAAGCAGGGCACGTTCGGAGTGGACTGCGAGACCTACCACACGGCCGGGGCCATCGGCACCCAGGGTGAGCACCGGCACGGCCCCGGCGCTGGGCGGGGGGCTCCGCCGGGCTTCTCACCTCCTTCCCCCCCTTTTGCTTTTTCCCCCCATTTCCCTTTCCGTCTTCCCCTTTTCCTTCTCCTTCCCTTCCTTTTCGTCCTTTCTCTTTTCTCCTTACCTTCCTTCTCCTTCCCTGCCTTCCCTGGAGGTGTTTAAGAGGCGCCGTCAGTCACTGGGTGATCTGTTCGCTGGGTGATGTGGTTCAATGGTTTAGAGGTCACAGTGGCAGTGTGGGGCTGGTGCTTGGACTTGAAGATCTTGAAGGTCTCCTCCAACTTTGACGATTCTGTGATTCCACTATTCCTTTTCCTTCCTTTCCCCTTTTACCTTCTCCTTCCTTCCCCCTGGAGTCCCCCGTCTTTTCCAGACCCTGCTGTGACAGTCAGAGGTGGCTCAGTGGCCCTGAGCCCATGCAGCCCCAGGCTCTGCTCAGCCAGTGTTCCTGAACAGAGCAGTTTGGAGCTTCCAGAGCAGCTTTTTCCTACTTTTTCTGCAGCTGGAACTTGCACATCTCCATGGAGGAGAGGCTGAGCCCAGGCTCTCTCTGTGCCCATGGGCAGGGGGTGCCCAGCCAGGGAGGAGGGCTGGGTGCTCTTGGCTGTTCCCCCCAGACTCCAGAGTCATGCTGGTGTTGTCCCGAGGCACCAGAGCATTTAGTTTTCCCAGTAAACCTTCAGAATAAAATCCCATCTGTTCCCTGAATGGCTGGATAACATAACATCCGTGTGGGGATGCAGAGTTAAAGCACCAAGGGGGACACAGGGAGGACTGGGTGGTGCTGTCAGGCAGGAGTACTGGTTTCCCAGCCCAGATCCCCTGGCTGTCGTTCCAGGGCAGACAGGGAAGCTGATGTACGTGATGCACAACTCCGAGTACCCCCTGAGCTGCTTCGCCCTCTTCGAGAACGGGCCCTGCCTCGTGGCCGACGCCAACTTCGACACCCTCATGGTGAAGCTCAAGGGCTTCTTCCAGAACGCCAAGGCCAACAAGATCGAGAGCCGCGGCACCCGCTACCAGTACTGCGACTTCCTGGTGAAACTGGGCACCGTCACCATGGGGCCCAGCGCCAGGGGCATATCCGTGGAGGTGAGGGGCCTCTGGGAAGGGTGGGGAATACAGGGACACACAGGGAAATTCCATGAGGGAGGACAGAGGAGGAAGGTTTTAGGGGTGACCGAATTGCGGCCGTCCGGTGCCTGAAGGGAGCTGAAAAGGAAGATGGAGAGAGACTATTTTACAAGGTCCTGGAGGGGCAGGACAAGGGGGAATGGCTTCACACTGACAAGAAGGCAGGCTTAGATGGGATATTGGGAAGGAATTCTTGGCTGGGAGGGTGGGGAGGCCCTGGCACGGGTTGCCCAGAGAAGCTGTGGCTGCCGCATCCCTGGGGCGAGGCCAGGTTGGATGGGGTTACCCCTCTGTGTTACACAATAAACATTCTGGGATGTTTTCATGGAAAGCACGCCCTGCAGCGAGGCAGGGAGCAGGGCACTGCCCCTCCTGCCAGCTCCAGGGCTGTGGGCTGTGTTCCCAGGTGGAATACTGCCCCTGTGTGATCGCCAACGACTGCTGGAACCTGCTCATGGAGTTCATGCAGAGCTTCATGGGCAGCCACACGCCCGGGATCCCGTCGGTGTTCGGGGCCAAGCACGACAGCGTGTACAGCCCCGGGGACACCATGGTGCAGTACATGGAGCTCTTCAACAAGATCCGCAAGCAGCAGCAGGTGCCCGTGGCTGGGATCAGGTGAGAGGATTCCCTGGAGCTCCTCTGGATGCATCCTCCTTGCTGCCTGCCCAGCAGGATCGGGAGTCCCGACGGTTTTTTTCCTTCTGCATCTCCTTCCCCTGGTTCAAAGCAGAGTTTTTCAGTGCTGTGTGTGTTTCTGGTTGTTCTCCATGGTTTGGAGCGTGTCTGGGATTGGATCCATGGTTCTGTGGATTGGTTCTGTGGTTCTTTGGGCAGTGCTTCGTGCAGGGAATCAGTGTCCATCAGCAGGAAACTGCAGGAAAAGGAGAAATTCCAGCCAAACACAAGGGCAGAGCTTCTGTGACTGCAAACAGCTACGGAACAGAGTTTTTAATTATTTACTTTTTTTTTTAACATCCACATAAAAGTGTCTTCTTGTATTTCACCCCAATAAACCTGTATTTTTGGAGGAGCCTCTGCTGCATTCTGCTTCCAATTACCCCCTTGATGTCAGTGGGTTTCCACAGGGGCGAGGATGAGGAGGACTTAATCCTTCATGTCTCAGCAAAGCCGTGTTGGTCTCCATTCTGGGATCGGCTGCCTCATGTTACTCTGGGGCTTTTTTACTTTATTGATGGGCAAAATTACTCTTTTGAGGTCCCCATCACCTCAGGGTCCCCCATCACCTCAAGCCCACCCTGTCACCTCAGGGACCCCGCGGGGCGCCTCCCGCCACCACGCAACCCCCCGAGGAGCCCCCGCGCTGCCCCTTTAAGAACCTCTTTGTCTCCCAGACACCTTTATTTACCCTCCCGCGACTCGCCCGAAGTTCGGCCCCGCGGTTCACAAAGCGCGGCGCGTCACGGGCGGGGGGGCGGGACTCGAACCCGCGCCGTCCCCCCCGGCGCCCATTGAGCAGCGCCCCCTGGCGGCCGCGCAGACTGCGTACGGCCCCGCCGGCGGCGGGCCCGCTACGCAAAGGGCGCGCGTGCCCTACGCAAACGGCGCGCGGGGCCCCGTAGGGAGCAACGGGCGCTGCGCTGCGCAATCGGCGTAAGCGGCGGGCAGCGGGGGGCGGGAGCCGGCGCTGAGTGACGCGCGGCCCGGCCAATGGCGAGGCGGGGCGGGGCGCGGCGGCCAATGGGCGGGGAGGGGGCGTGGCCGGCGCGGGCGTCTCGCGCTGGGTGACAGCTCGCGCGTGCTGGTGATGGCGGTAAATAAAGGGGACGGGGGGGGGGGGGGGGGGGGG